CAAGCAAAGCTTTTTTTTTTTAGTGTTTCTGCGTACTTGCAGAAAAACCTCTTGCCCTTTTTTTTTATTTTTGGAGTGATGCTAGCTTCTAAAAATAATGTGAATAAAATTGACTTAAATTCTGGACTCTGCTTGTCTCCTTCAGAAGGAGAAGGCCTGCATTATTTCAGAGTTACTTTAACTCTGCTAATATGCATTAGCCACACTAATGCTGTGAGAGACTTAATTTCAAAATAGCAGAAGAAATACCTAGAATGTCTTTTATGTCCTGTGAAAGGAAAGCTATTCCCTTTTTCGATCATATTGACAGGAAGGCAAAAGTTAATGAGAGAAACTCCTTTCTGGCTTTTTTTTTCCCAAGTGGACAGGAACAAGCCAAAGATGCGTGATATTGTTTCTTGATCAATAACAATGAATTAATCTTAAAAACTCGTATAATCTGTTCCCTCCATGGGATACAAAGAACACATAGCCGTGTCCTTGCTCTATATTATGCTGCAGTTTGGCGGTGTCTGAATAAATAACATGCATGGACTTAGATCCTCTTTGATTTCATCCATGTGAGTTATGGCTTTTTGTTTAACGCTTGTCAAATGTTTCTTTTACAGGTATGATTTGTTTCCAAAAACACTGATGAGTGCTACAACTGGCCTGCACTTGATCTTAGCTTTTGATAGGGCTCAGTAATGCTTTGATGGAAACAAACTGTCATTGAACCAAAGGTAGAGCTTAGTTGTTGGAATATGTTTTATTTCTTTTGTGAGTCATGATACTTTGCAATTCTGTTGTATTGTACGACCTCAAAACCGTATAGAAACAAATTTGGCAGCATAGAAATGCATAAGAGGAGACAGCTATTTTACACTTACGCTCTGCTTTCTTATTTGTTGTGTTTTTTTTTTTTTTTTTTTTTTTCACAGATGAATGGGCTGCTTGAAGAGAGCTCTAATTTGCATGAGATCTGTGCAAGAACCGGCAACGCTGACAAAAAGTGACTTCCCAACTCCTGAATCAGATGTTTTGTGTGACAGCAGCAAGTGCAGCGTAGGCCTTATGTTGGATGCCTAGTACTCCCATTCTAGGGGTGATACAAAATGCCTGGCAGGGAGTCCTTATCTCCTCTGTTCTGTAGAGGCAGTAACTACCTGTGTCTTTAGGAGCTCTCTTCTCTCCCTGGAGCCTGGAAGAGGTCAGGACTCATGTTAAAGGACATGAGAGATGGGGATGTGTAAGGAATGCCATAAATCTTGGTGGTTTAAGGATTTTATTATATTCTTTACTGCAGTAGGTACCTCTTCAGTGGTTGGGCTAAAAGGATAACTGAGGCAACTGAGATCCCTCTGCTCTCATACTTCCTTTGAAAGCTGTTACAAGTGACTATTCCTACTTTTTGTTTGTTAGTCTGGTAGCTTCCAATTGCATTGTTAATATGAGCAAATCTCTCACAGTTTTAATAGGAGATGTTCATATTTAATGTCTGCAGTGTGAGCTGTTTATACATAAGGATGTCATCACCATGAAAATTAAAAGACATGAGTAGTTCCATGTTTCTCCTTATTTTAATTACCTTTTAATTTACTTGTATTTAAATTAAGGTTTCTCCTTAAAACTTAAAAAAAGGCAGTTCTCCTTAAACTTGAAAAAAAGCAGTCTTATTAAGATGAAATACTTTGGCTTTCATGTTAATTTGTTATCATACGTGAAACAAAGAGTTTGCAATGTGCTGGTATCGTTCTTTTTCTCTTCTGTATAACTATTTAGAAAAGTACTGCCTTAAGGATATGAGTATCTCAGCATGACGTTGAGCAAGAAATATCCACAAACAAGTTTGGCTAAAATCAAAAATTTGAGGTGTTTTAAATTCATCAGTGAAGGCTGCTGACTAAAAAAATCATTACCTGCAGGTATTGATATGGTATCCTTTTATACTTCCTAGCCCCTGCTTTGGAAATGAAATGTTGAGACTGGGAAACTGTATTCTTAGGGAAAGAATGGGTAACAGCAGGATGATAGCAAGAAGTCTGAGGAAGGAAATTAAAAAAGGAAACACTCTGAAACTTACCAGGATTTCTCAGATTCCAAATTGAAAAAGAGCAGACAAAGAAACAAACCGGAATGGAAGAAATAGTATTTGTAGTTTCGTGATGTCTTTCTTTTTTCAGGTGTAGCCCATACAGCACTTCCCTTTACCGTTTTCAACCTACAGGCTCAATTCATTTTCATCCTAAAATTCTTGTAATGAAGATTCTCTTAATTAATTTGACTTCACCAACCCTGACTCCTCCTTGACTTGGGACTTGCTTAGCTCATCTTTATCCAAAGTCATTTTATCTGTTCTCTCTTCACATTTCCAGGCACACTTGTAGGTTTGCTGCCTGAAAACCTTTCGTTAATTACTAAGCCTTTCACCACCTCTCAGCTCTGAACTCTCTGCCTGTTTGCTCCCAAGCTCACTGCTCTCCCCCTTACTCAGAATTTAGGTCAGAGAAGCAGTTGGTGAAGTGAGATTCTTCCTCAAACCCACAGGCAGATGCTTGCTATCCTATCTCAGATCACTCATACGCTATGCATGCAGCTGCTGCCATAGCTAGAAGAACATACTTGGCAGCCAAAAAACTATCCCTTGTAGATATGGAAGAAATGTCCATAGTTTGTATGGCAGAAGAAATTCAGCTCTGCGAAGCAATGCTTAGCTTCTGCCTTCTCTCTGCTGTGGTACTGGCGCCGCTGCGTGAGAAGCACGTGCATTGTGCATTTCAAGAACTACAGCAACTCCAATGTGCTTCTGACAGCAGTTTGTAGGCACGAGGTAAAGACAGGAAACAGACCTGTAGGATCCCCTGCACCCCACTTGTCTCCACATTTTTTGATGTTATGCACAGTGCTGCCATGTGATTTTTGGTAGATACTTCACTATCAGGATTATAGTTTTGGTGGTGGATGTACAGTATGGATGATATACAGAAAATGACCTACAGATGAAGAGAGATGAGCTGCAGCTGTAGTCTTTTCTGTTCAGGAGAATGCTAGAGGACGAGAGTACCATTTGTCACAAGAAGGGATACATTTCTTGCAGCACTCTCCAGGAGCGGATCCAAAACCTGCAACAAATAAACAGTTCTGAGAGATATAATAAGACAAACACGTCAGGATGTACATCTGTTTGATGCAGACTGAAGAAGTCCTGCAAATTAGGGTTAAAAAGGGATAAAAATGAACATATTCTACAATCCTCTGTGATTATATTCATAATGACAAAAAGAGGTTATTTATGCGGATCTAGACCTGCTTCTAACAGAAAACAGGAATACGATAAACTTTCTTAATGTTACCAACATTGCTGTAGTTCTACAAATCCAGCTGAAGAAATGAATGGTTGGAAAGAGCAACCCCGTTGTTTTTTATCTCTCTGTTGCACGAAGGCAATTATTTGCTGGGGCATGCTGTAACAGAGAACACACAGGCTGAGGTACAACTTCTAGGGAGTTTTTTTTTTTATCTGAGTTCTTTTGGAGTTTGCAGGGAATGAACAGCTGGCTGACACTTCTTGCACTTTTATCACTACAGATGATGCACGAGGGTGTATGGTGTCAGGACAGTTGTACAGCATGCAGTGAAGCCCAATGTGTCACTAACTTGATATGTGAGAAGATCAGTAAAAGGCAGAGAGAGTGCCATAGCATAAAGTGGCTAGTTGTATTTTTTTTTTTTTTTGTTAATAGTGTTGCAAAATAAGTACAGAATAATAGAGGAAGAGGATGAATGCAGAACTGCTATTCACTAAATCCTTCAATGGGAAGGTCCAGGTGTTGAAACTAGTAAGCAGAGTTAAAACTCTGACTTAAGAAAGTACTTTTCTAGAAGTAGTGGACTGAATATCTCACATTTGTATCCACAAGAGATCTTCCAGGTAAATGATATCTGCAAATCTAAAACGGAATTAGACAAACTGATGAATGAATTTGCATTTCCTATTGACCGTGTAAGAGGTCTGATGACATTCCTTATACCCACTAGGTGAGTAAATCTAGCATTCAAATCAAAACTAGCATATTTTTGAGCAGCACTGTGCTCAAGAGCATCTGAACAGAATACTATAGTTTAAAAAAAAAAAAAAAAAAAAAAAAAAAAAAAAAACCCCACTTTTTTTTTAAAAAAAAAAAAAAAAAAAAAAAAAAGATTAAAATTGTTGCAATTTTGGGCAACAAAATATAGCCAGGCAGAAATGTAACCATTTGAAATACATGCAGAAGAAATCTTACTCTTTCATTTCTGGTATCAGACAGAATTTGTGCCTAAATGAGTCCACCAGCATTCCTGCTCTGTTACCCATAATGTTTGGGAGGTGTGGAAGTGAGGGGCTTTGAGAGTCCTGTGCAGAGAGTCCAGAGAAAGGTAGCTGCTGTACAAATGCATTCAACTGCTGTTGCCATATAATCCTTTTTTATCTCTCATGAAGATGCCTGCATTTAGACTAGGTGCAGCTTGGTGTTCTGCCATTTTTAATTGACCGCCTTATTTTCTTAAATTCTCGCAATGTAGCAGCGATAAATTCTGAATGTCACACTCCTCTGTGTGTTCCCCAGTGACCCTGCTGCAAGCACACAACTTCTTTTCCTTGGAAATGACAGAAAGTAAGATCTTTGGAGAGACACAAAAGTCTCTTCTAAAGAAATAAGATGGGACAGCTTATGTTATTTTTAAGATTTTGGGTCAAATTCCTTTCTGGCTCAGTGTATTTGCTACATATTGATTTTGCTAGTTATGTAAGACATAAAAACGGCCCTTTGTCACCAAAAGCAGTGCAGATGTTCCCAAAACCATGAGTCGTGAGCATGGCTTATCTTTTTATTTGTCCATTGGCTTTTAAAAAATATACTTAAATCAGTTTTGCTTTTCAACAATGAAGCAGCAATAAGTTCTTCCAACAGAAGATTTGGCCAAAACATTAAAACATAAAACATTCAGATCCCTGTCATTTAATACTAGCGACTGCATGATTTGCCATAAAAATGCAGACGTTGGAGGGAAGAGAGCACAGTGATCTAGAACCAGAGTTATGTGTGCATCTATTGAGTCCTGTACTGACCCAGAGCTGCCCGGCACGTGTGTGCAGCCCAGCTTGCTGGCACACTCTCCCCTCATGGGAGAGCCAGAGCAAAGCTGAGCCAGAGCAGTGCATTACAAATGCAAAGAAAAAAAGATGTGTGGTTCACAGTCAGCTGGCAGCCTGTTCCAGGTCTGAGAGATGAGTTAGTTGCAGACTGGCCTGTTTACCACAAGGTTTATAAGTAAGGAGTTTATGACACTTCTGCTGAATCCAACAACATTCTAAAAAGCCACTGTGGTCCTTAGGTTTCGCAGGTCCTACACAAGCACTCAGATACTCCACTCACTTCTCAATAGCGCTGCTGAGAATTAGCTGAAGCATGCAAGGCAGCAAGGTTGTCAGTACTATAGGGGAACAGTGCCTTTCCAGTAATTTAGATTGCATTTGCTAAAGCCACATGTTGAGCATCCAGAATTAGTCCATATATTTGCACTCATCTTCTCTAAAGCTTTTGGTCTGTTCTATGTGCTGAAAGCACAGCATGAACCTTCCTGGCTGCCATGTTCAAGATTAAAAGCAAAAATCCAGTAAATAATTTTTGTGTGAAATGTGCAGGTGCTGTTAGAGCCGTGCATCTCACACACTTGCATAAACTTCAACAAATACATAAATTTTAGTAAAAATAAATGGCAGTGATGTGACAATACAAGAATGGCTGATGCACTGCTGGATAGTTGTCATATACATTACGAACATTTCCAGTTTGCTTTAAAGTTTTTTTGTTTAAAGTCTGGCAAGAAGCCTGCAGAAAAACAAACAAACAAAAAAACTGCTCATGCAGAGATTTTGTGGTGGATAGTTTGAAGTTAAAAATCAGTGAATCTGCTTAATTCCATAGCAATCCATTCCATAGGACAATATTAGATTTTAGGTCAAATTATCCCAGCACACCCAGAATTACATATAAGACAAACAGCATTTCTTCTTCTCACTCTGGGCACATAAATATTCACATGTACACACCTATGTGAGTTTTGCTGAGAGATAAATTAGTGTGTAGGTGGGAGGTACACATAAGCTGACTTCTTCCCGTTCCTTGGCACCGTGCTATATAACCACACATTCGAGTTGGTGCAGGATCAGGCCCTGGGTCAGCATTTCAAAAAGCAGTGCTACTGCTTAGCAACCATTTTCTGCCTGGATGAAAGCAGAAACCTTGCAAATCATAAACAAATACGCAGGTCTATGCAAAGGCCAAGTGAAATAAAGTGGGTGTCCTTTGCCTAACAGCCTGCTTCATTTATTTTTTTTTCCTATGGTAACATTTCCTATCAAACAAAATCAGGATGGGGCTTGGAACTCTCAAGGAGGAGTTTCAAAAGAAAGAAAAGAAAGAAATATGATGCACTGGGAGTTTTCAGCCACTGTAGGGGATAACAAATTTGAACTTTTATATTCAAAATCTAAAATGGCTTTAAAATATTTTTATATTTTCCCTACTGGAGTAATTACAAATATATGTTCTCTTTTCCCCCAAAAAAACCTCAGTATGGAATAGAGTGGACGTGAAATTACTTCTGATGCATTTATTTAGTTGTTTTTATTCATATCAGTCAGACACACTCATGCAGTGAAATTTCATTAATGCTCAAGTCTTTGAAAAGAGAGCCACT